AAAACTGTTAAGACAGGAACACGAAGGCTTGGACCAGTCTGCTGGAATTCTACACTCACTTTTACAATTAATTAAAAGATTATCATTTCAGTTATGGACAAAACACAACATTCAATTATGTCAGACGTAATTTAATTGCATACAGAGCTCCACTACAAAGCAGAGCTTGCGGACCAAAGGTGGTGGTTTTGCTCAGCATCAAAGAGGTTGGAGCTGACATACAGATCCAGTTTTGGGATCCTGAGTTTAAAGTGATGCTGAAAGGGTCCAGGTAAGATGACAAGGGTGGCTGCAGTCCTGTGTGCGTGTCCTGTAAGATGAGGCTGAGGAAGCTGGGCATAGTCTGGAAAGGTAGAGAACAGGGGGTGCTCCAACAGCAGCCTGCTAATGCTTCAAGGAGGGCTACAAAAATCGTGCTGCTGAACACTTCTCAGTAATAGATGGCGGAGCCACAGATCACAACTTGGGAGGTTAAGCATGGACGTTAGGAGGGGAATTCTCAACTAGGGTTGTACTGCTTCACTGCAACCAGGTACCCAGAGAGTTTGTGCACCCTGCTCCCTTGATGAATGTTAAAGATCCAGATTAAAAAACAAAACAAAACAAAAAAACAACAACATGCATGACCTCACTTTGAAGGAGCAAAATACTTTCTATTAGGCTGAATCAGGCAACCTCCAGACTCAAGAGCAAGGCAGAGTCAGACCACGTGGTCTTTGCAACCAACATTCCCTCTATGATGCACTGGAACAGGCTGCCCAAGGAGGCTGTGGATGCCCAATCCCTGGAGGCATTCAAGGCCAGGCTGGATGTGGTTCTGGGCAGCCTGGTCTGGTGGCTGGAGACCCTGCACATAGCAGGGGGTTGAAACCAGATGATCATTGTGGTTCTTTTCAACCCAGGCCATTCTATGAGTCTATGAGTCTATGATTATGACTTGAGTGCATGCTCTCTGCCATAGCCAGCAGTCAAGCACAGCTGCATCAAGCTAACATGAGGTGATCATAAAAATTAGGCTTTGTAGGAGCTGTCTCATTCTACACTGCACTAGATAAAATGAGAGCACAAGTGTTAATCTATTGAATACATAGAGTTACAATTCAACGTGATCTTGCCTTTATTATTCATAATATTCTTTAAATGTTTGGTTAATTAGCTGCCAGTTCCGGTGCATTCATTTGAACCTATCTTACTGCGAGTCTCATCCCACAAACCTCATAAAAACTAATGAGGAACGAGGAGGAGAGGAGACAATCAATTCTTCCCATTTTAACTCTCAAAACTAGTTCCAGTATGTTGTTTTGGAAGTTATATGCTACAAAAGTACTGCAATGTCTGAATGACGATGGGCAGGACAGACTCAGAAGCATATCAGGTTTAAGAACCAACTTCAGTGTGTTTTGAAGGAGAATCTACTTTTTATTTAGGAAATGGAACAATCAATGCTCTTTTTAGGCTTCTAATCTTAGCAGTTTGGAAAGTACTGGAAAATTACTGTACTGCAGAAACTTGGCCTGGTGAAATCTCGTATCAGGAGCATAGAAAAAGCCATTCTGTAAGGGATGTGTAATGGAGCTGTCAGCTCATGGCCAAAAGGGATGATTGAGCACCTGGTGAAGGGGTATGGCTGGCCCAGGAAGCACAGGTGCAAACAATTTTCCTGTGCTTTCCACCTGACTGGAAGAGAGTTGGATGCAGGGTCCAGCCCTGGACTCATTTAAGGACTGGCTTCAAGGGAAAGAAGGCCTCCTGCATGAGGGCTGCTTAGTGAGGAATATTCCACAACTGGAGTCCCTCATCACCAGCTGGGTGAGTCAACTTTTGTCTTTTATATGACTGTTGGTATTCCCTGTGATGTTTTGCCTGGTACTATAAATAACTTGTCAGAAGCAACTTTGCTTCTGCTCTTATTCTAATAAGTGAATGCATTTGCTTTGAGCTTCATGGTAGCTTGAACCCATCATGAATTTGGTGCTGCAGAATTTTCGTTGTAATAGAGGATTTTAAGAAGTTGGGCTGACAAGTTGCTAAGGAGAAAGATCCTATCTACAGTCATGTCACAAAAGGGAGACAAATTCAGCAAACTTCTTATACTGTGTGCTTTCCATTTTATATGTTAGTGTGATCCAAACAGAAAAAAAACTCCAATGCATTCACTAGTAAGGATTTAGTCCAGCAACAGGATAGGAAAGGAACAGAAGATTTAAACAAACAAACAAAAAAGCAAGAAGTAGGGTTTTTTGTTTTTTGTTTTTTGTACTAAAATAGCCTTAACACTTACCCTTGCTAAAATAAGCCTTCAGTCTGACTCACCTCCACCCTCTCAAAAATGTTTACTGCCATCTCTCTGTTTTCTTGTCTCCATTTTGGCCTGGAAGAAATGCAGCAGCTAACACAAACCAAGGAGCACTGCCTACTTAGTTCTCTCTCCCCAAGCCATCATTACATTATACTCAACCCAAAGCTTCCCACCTACCATCAGCAGCTGAGCAGTAAGTGGATTCTCTTCCCTTTGATTCTACAATCTCTGGATCAAGACTCTCATCCCTTGACTCCAGAAGTTGGATCAAAACACTGAAACTGTTTTGCTTCTTACAATAGCAGAAGGTAGCTAACTCTCCCTAGCAAGCTTATGTTGCATCGCTTCTAAGCACTGTTATCCTTGACAGCTGAGGAAGGGAGTTTGGAGAAGCACGCAGCTCCCAAGCTAACAGCCTCCCTGTGAGGGAGTTGCAGGTGCACACACATTCATGTTCAGGCATTTAATCCATGACTTGGCTTGTGTACAGGGCTTCAACTAGAATAGTGTCATGCTTTAGTAACTGCAGAGGTGACCTTCATTTACTTGGGTATATCTGAACTAGGAAAAAAACAAGTAATTGAGCATTTAATTCCAAAGCCTTTTCTACTCTGCGTATGTCAGATACATGGTTAAAAAGTTTTAAGAAACAAAGAGCAGTAAAGATAATGGGGGAGGGGAAAAAACAAAACAACAACAAAAAAACAACAACAAAAAGTGTGAACACTGTGACTGCTGACATTTGCCCTCATTCAATAAACACATTGGGTTTCCCCTCCTTCAGATTATCACTGGTTTAAAGGTAAATATTCTGCTATCAGATGAGGAAATAATGGGTTTAATGCTTCCAGTCCCCAGCTGGGACTTAGGAATTTGGTGTCTAAATTACTTTTGTGATTACTGCTGGTATCAGCAGACTTAAAATATCAGTGCTGCAAATGATAATAGTACTACATGGCAAAACAGATCAGGAGGTTATGAAATTTAGTCAAAAAAGCAATGTTAACCCATCATTTACCAGATGTAGGAATGAGAAAAATCCGTTGCCTGCTTACGCAAGTGATGAACTTTAAATTACTAATTAGTTATTAAAGATGAGAATTAGCATTACTGCAGCTGAGTTTAGCTGTCAAGTTGCCAACAGCATTATTCCTGACCGCCGAACTAACCAAGCTATCCCTCCATGCCTGACAATACTTGGAGCACATCAGTGAGGCTAACTAGTCACAGTGCCTTCAGAAGCTTGGAGCCTAAAATCAAGGCCAGGCTGGATGTGGCTCTGGGCAGCCTGATCTGGTGATTGGCAACCCTGCACATAGCAGGGGGTTGAAACTGGATGACCTTTGAGGTCCTTTTCAACCCAGGCCATTCTATGAAACCCTCCCTTCCTTCCCCTGAAGGAGCACGGGGCACTGCCAGATTATCTGGGAACGTGGCAGACTGCATGAGCAGGAAAGGGGCAGAACTCCAAGGGAAGTCTTTCCTTCAGCAGTGACCTTCAGCCAGGTGCCCCCACTAACTTTTTCTATGTCATTCAGCTAACAGCAGTTGCATCAATAGACACAAGATTCTGTTTCAGAAGTTCGATGCTGACAGGAAATACATAGAAAGAGTACTGGAGGGGTGGAAGGATGAAAGCAGTGATGTTCCAATGAGTCTAAGTATCAAAACAGAGCTTTAAACAAATGGTTCCTGTGGGACCAGCAGATTCACAGCAACCAGTTTGGAAAGCTCATATGCAAAATGAAATGCTATGTCTTGAGGTGGCTCCTGAGAGCCCACATTCTGAACAGAAACATGAGTTGAGAAGAAGAATTGATGAGGTTTTGCAGACTTGAGATACTTTTTGAAAGGTGCTGGAAAAATAAGTCATTTTAGGGCATGCAAGGAGTTTTAATATACATAGGAAAGTGAAGATGCGAGTAACAGAGCACGGAGGCTGCCTGTTACAGGGCAAACAAGGCCTCCGGGCAGAGGCGCAGCGTGTCCCCAATGACCTGGGAGGCCGGGGCGAACAGCCGCCCTTATAGCGACGAACGGGGCCGCACCGCTCCGAGCCTGCGGAGTTTCTCCTTCATCGAGGAGAGCCGCAGCGCTCGGCAGGACGGGCACGGAGGGAAGGGCTCCGCGCCGCAGGGAGCCTGGGGGGAGCCGCCGCCATTTCGAGATCTCCTCCGCCAGAGGAAACCTCGAGCCCCAGCCCCCTTCCCCAACCACCTCCCGCGGCCCCTGAGCGCGACGTCGCCATACGGAACGGTACCGACCATGGCTGGGAGCAGCGAGCCGAGCGGCAGCCTCGAGGTCACCTCTACCGTGCGACTGCGACCGCCGGCGGCGTCGCGCTAGGGCACCGCGGAGGGGCGGGGCGCGTCATGGCGCGCAGGTGAATGGGGACTGTAGTCGCGAGTCGCGCCGTCCTGTATTGTTGTGGCGGGGGCCGAACTACAAGTCCCAGAGTGCCTCGGGGCACGCACGCCCCGGCCCCTGCACGCTATTGGCGCCGTTTTCCCGGCGCCCCGCCCCTCCGGCCCGTTCATTAATCCCGTCCGTCCCCGCTAGGGGGCAATGAGCGGCTCCGAGAGCTGCGCGTGCGCTCCGGAAGGATTGTGGTTAGGGCGGTGTTGGCTCCTGGGTTTGCGCATGCGTCATACGGAGGAAACTCAAGAGGAGCCAACTGTGCGCATGCGCGCGAGGGGAGGTGTCCACACCGGCTGTAGAGGAAGGAAGGGGACGTCGTGCGTCGCGAGAACTCGGGGCTGCTGCGCGTGCGCAGGTAGCGGCGCTGCGGTGGTTGCTAGGCAACGCTGCAGCGGGAACGGCGTGCGGTGACGCGCGGGATTCCCTCCATCTCCCCAGGCCCTGCCGTCTGCACGGTGCTGCTAAGGGCCTCAGCACGGCCACTCTCCTCAGACCCACTCGCCCCGGCGTCCCCCTGCCTTCCTGCCCGGCTGGCTCTCCGTGCTCTGACACACTTCTCTCGGGCAGCCTGTGGTTGTGCTGCAGGCTGAGCTCTGTCAGTGAGCTGCTGGCATAACCGCACCGTGGATTGTTTTCTTCCTCAGGCCTTGACAAGGTTCCTAGCAGAACAAATCCTGTAATTTAGCTTAGCCTGTGCCGAAGGCTCACGTGCCCCGACATTTTTCAGCAGGATTAGTTTTTAATCCTATTTAGCCCCTTACAGGTGATTGTTTTAACACCTTGGGCAGCACTTGGGCTGACTTCTGTCAGTTCCTCAGTCAGAAATCCTCCTTTGGGGCAGTGGTGTTAAGTGTAAACACGAACACACGGCACGCAAATGTTCTCACTGTAGCGAGCCTTGTTGCTAATCGTCCTCGTGCCACAATCCCCGGCTTCCCGTGGTTTGATCGACCGACCCTCTGGCAGCTCCTGAAGTATCGGAAGCAGCGGTGTCAGGGTTCAAAAGGTATCGTGATGCTGAGTTTGTTCTCAATCTCGTACTGCTCAATGCTGATTTATATTGCCTAACAGCGATACGTTCGTGCTGTGAATGAAGATTGAACTTAAGTTCCGGTCTGGGGATGAATTTAAAGCCAAGCAGCTGCAAACGAAAGCAGAGGTCTGCCTTGCTGTGAGAGGTGCCTCAGCAGTGCCGGGAGCTTGTTGTCCAGACAAACCATTCCAGAGCATCCTTAGATGCTTTACACCAGTAACTCTGACCTTTTTTTGCACCCACGCTTCATACCAATTTAATTGAGGTTATTTAAGATCTACGTTTACCCAGAAGTTGACATGGGCCCGCATAAGGTGATTTTTCACTAAGCATTATCAGTTATCTTCAAGTTGATTGCTTATCAGTTTTCAGCAAAATCAGTATAAGTGTGCTATAAACTGCTCTGTCTGCCAGCGTAGCATTAAACCATTGGTTTAATGGATTTCAGTTAAGCTAGTCGAAGTTTCTTCTGTAGGTAAGGCTCTGTTTTCATTCTCCATCCTTTTCTGACCAAGCTTGTGCTCGTTAGTTTATTGCTGGAGATAACGTACCTAACGTTGAAACTGATTTGTAGTGAATGTTTGTCAGTTTATTTTAAATATGTTCCTGGTATAATTAGTCCCAGATAGAGTAACATCGGTTTAAGACTGCACTGCCTTTTGTGATGTTTTACCTGAAGGCAACGCTGAAGTTTTTCAAGTTAACGAAACTTAATAGTTCTGCAATTCTTTTTTCTGGGCTTAAATAGTTTCTGTTTGTTAGAATTTTTTGTCTTCCAAGCAAAATGTAACCATACAAAACTAAGCAAGAGAAATGACAGATGCTTTCTTTTCTTTTACATCTCCTTTTCTTGGTGTTTATTAGCTTTTAAAATAAATGTTCTGCTTCTGGATAGAAATTCTTCTGGTGTTTTGGCAGCATGTGTTGGTCCTCAGTTGTACTCCTCGTGCTGTTAAATCATATCATTGTCTTCAGATTGTTGGTGCTGTGGGGATCTATGAATACCATACACTGAGTTTCTGCATACTAAATTTGTGCTCTCTTTTGTCCTCAAGGCATGTGCTGTATTTGTTATTTTTCTGATTTATTAGCCTTAACACCTTTTCAAAGCTCCAGAGAAGTTCATTCCAAATCTAATGCCGTTTTTCCTGTCAATTTTTTCACAGTCTTCAGGTTTCCTTGTGGGATATTTTTTTTTATCGTCTCAGAATATTTTTGCTATTTTACATCTTCAGTTGCCACTATTTCTGAGGTTGTGAGGTGTTGGTGTCATTTTCTTAATCTTCTTTAATGAATCTCACATGTTTTATTACTGTATGTCTTTTGTGTAGAGCTGTAAGCCAAAAAGCTGCAGAAGTGGAAACATGAGCAAATTAAGTGCAAAAGAAGTAATGAACTTCACTGTGCACACAGATTAGGCATTCAGGTATTTACTGAAATGCAGTTTACAGACTTTGCATTCACTGAAATTAAGTAACATGCAGATTGGTGTAACTAAACAACACAATACTCAAACTGTTTTGATCTCTATCTTGTGGTGATAAAGTATTATTTTTCAAGGCTCGTAGTGTTGAAGTGTTTTGTTTTTTTTTTTTTAATTCCAATTTAAAATGAATTATTCTCTTTTAATAGCTGTCAGTGTTCTGTAACTATAGTTTGGATCAGCTTTTTTTCATTGCTATCTATAGAAATTGCTGAATTATTTTTGGTAAGTTTTTATACCCAATTTTCAATGATTTGTGGCAGCTTTTTTTATCTTCTCCGTGTATAATACAGTTTTTCTTTCTAAACATATTTGCTTACGATTTTTATACAGAAAATGTATCTCAAGCAAAAGTAATTCTTCGAAATGCTTGTGGCCTTGTAAAAAACAACAAAAAACCAACTATATAATTGCTGGTTTAAAGCCCAGAAACAACAGTAGAATTTGAGCACTTTTTGAAGCCTATCCTAGGAAAGAGATTGAGAGGACCAGAAGTCAGTTTTTAAGATGACAGGGAACCTGCAAGAGTTTAAAACAGGACAAAGTTGTAGGTATAAGAAAGAACAATAAGAATTGTGGCTTAAAAAGTGAAGGTAGGTAAGTGCATGAAGTGCTGATGTCTTACACAGGGCTTTTTTTTTACATTCCCCAATCTAATGGCCAGAATCTAATTTTTTAGTGTTCATTTCTAAACTTCAGCTATGTGATCCTGCATGGGTGTTAAATGTCATGAAGAAGCTGGTGTTTCTAGACCTTCTGCTATAACCCTCATTTTTATTATTATTATTATTAATTGCTTTGCTGTAGTTCAGAAAACATTCTCAAGTAGAAGTTTTGCTTTCTGCCTGTGGAATCTGTTTCAGAGATACGGCTTCACTTCTATTTTTTTTAATAGCTCGGGTATGTTTTTATGTAATTACAAGTAATTGATTATTCATTGATTGCATTTAGAAAGCCTCTGGTATTTTAGTAGGTGGGTGGGATGCCATGTATCAGTATGCCTGCTATGAGGAGCCTCCTGATGCGTAGCACACTTGTAACAGCTATTAGTAATCTTCACAAACTGCCAACAAATCAAATCTTAATTAAAAATGTGACCAGATTTCTTTTTTTTGTTGCTCATTTCTAAGTTAATGATACCAACACCTGTTACTCATTTGGCAGAGATCACACCAACTGTGTAAGCCTCCTATGCTGGTCTCTGTGTAGGTGGATCTGATGCACACAGGCCTCTGGAGATTGGAGTGCAGCTCAGGTGTGTTTGCTCTTGCAGGCTTTCTTCACTGACTTGGGGCTGCATTAGTACAGGGTAATAACTACTCTGTTGTAGGTAAAGCTGAGAAACCATGTGAGATCTGTTGTCATCTGACCCATTTTCAGAGGATTTTCTGCTCTCACTTCTTCCAAGTACAGAGTATAGAGTCCTCATGAAAGCGAAATAACAGCAGACACAAGGAAAGATTTCAGTATCTTGGCTGTACATTCAGTAAAGTTGAATTTCTGAATTGTTTTGAGCAGGAGAATTGCATTCTTGGTGTATGAGAGTCTTCCTAGTTTCACTCCTTTAATAGAACTTGGTACTTTTCTTCATTACACAGACACTTGTACACCTGCACGGCAGTTTGGGTTTCCTGAAGTCACTACATGGGAGAGGTTGGTTGTTGTCTAGCTTTGTAGCTTGAGTTAATGAGGTGGTACTTCCCATAGTAATAGAGTTGAGGTGGTAGAGGTTTTCACAGACCTCTGGGAGGTGGTAAAGGGAAGGAGGGAAAAGAATGTCCTTTGCAGTGCATTTCTTTGGTTCATTTCATTTTTGGAACGCTATGAAATTGTTTACGTGGTCAGTTTCCAAGGCATATCCATAGCACTGCTGTTCTTGAGGAATTCAAAAGAAGGTTATAGCAGCCTGTTTCCATAGTTCAGTAAAACCAGTAGCTTAATGTGCTAGCTGAAAGCGTGTGAGTAATTGAAGTGCTTTCTAAACAAACATCTCAGAACTACTGCTATTATACAATAGCTTCTTCATTCAGTTGCTTCTCGTTTTACAAAGTCTCGTGCAGTGTTGATGTGTTAGGTTAGTTTCCTGTGGAAGATGTCTGCAGATTGTATTTCTCTTAAGAACTGAATTATTATGTGCAATATCAATAAAAATACCCAAGGAGTGAAAACCTTACAATGGCTTACAATGTAGTTTTTAAAGTTTTTTTGTTTTTTGTTTTTTTAAATCAATTCCTTACGGAAGGGAAAGTCTGGGAAGACGTGGAGGAAGTATTTCATGTGAAGTCACAGTAGTTGTACCTTCTAAAGCAGCATTCTGGGCCATTTTGAGAGGAACTGAAAGGCTTGACATAGAGGGGAACCAAAGAGCAAGTCAGCATGTGCCTAGTAGGGATAAGGGATCCGTGGCTGTGGAACAAATCAGGAGCATCCTGTGCTTGTAATCTGGATGCAAATGATGGAAAAGAAAGCAGCTGCATCACCGAGTGAAGGAAGCTTCCCTGTGAAGTAATCAAACAAAGGGAATTATGATTCTGGTTAGGTTTATTTTTCCTGGTTTGTTTCTAGATGATACAGCTGTGCTTCATTTCTTTTTAGGTTTAATTTGCAGTCTGCCTTTAGTTCTTTAGCAGCTATTATGATGGTTCACTAACATACAGATGCTGAAGAAGTTGGATCTTAATTGAAGGAAAGCCTTTTGAACACTTGGAGTTCTAGGGGAAAGATGCTACTCTTCCAGTCTGTACTTCTAATATGGACAAAACCATTTGGACTGGATGGTCTTTTAGGTCTTTTCCAACCTTGGTGATTCTATGTATATTCATTTCCTCACAGGTAATCCCATTTATTTACATTAATAGACCAGATAACGATTTTCAAGTTGCATTCTGTCTCATCTGAAAGACAATAAGGTATTGCTATGAAATGGCCTTTGCCTTTTATAGCTGCCTGACATCCAGGGTCTCCCCTCAGTGTATTAGTCAAGGGAACGAGAAATGCTCTACAGTTAAATTATGGGTTTGAATCTCCAGGTGGTGCTTGAATTCATGGTTGAAGACTGTAGAAATTAATTTTGCTAAAGCAAGAAACAACAGGACATTGAGCTACTGTGCCAGCTTTAGATGTATGCTTCAAAAATTTTTTGCTGCTCAGCATTATTCAGTAATCTTTAACTCAAATTGCAGGAAATATTTGAAATTCCATTCTAACAATATCCAACAGAGAATATTAAAGAAGCATTAAATTTCAAATGCCTGAGGGAAAATGTTCTCTTGCAACACCGTGGGCACTTGGATCTCCATAGTACATGCAGTATTATAGTCTAATATTATGCTTTATTGCTCTAAAATGAAAGCCCAATTTTAATTCCATCTCCAAAAACTAGGTTTACTGCAGTGAAAAATAATTTATTTGAATGTTGTTTCTTTTTAAATACATTGCAACTAACCTTAAAGCTTCCTCATGCGAAACTGCCACTGTGGCTTTTTGTCGT